CATCACTAGCAACAATATCGATCAAATTAATGATCTAAAGCAATATCTGAACAAGTGCTTCAGTCTCAAAGATTTAAGACCACTCACTTATTTCTTGGGGATTGAGGTTCATCACTCTTCCTCTGGGGGTTTTCTACATCAACGGAAGTACCTACTTGACATTCTACATGAAGCTAATATGACTGGTTGTCACCCAGCTTCATTTCCAATGGAACAACAACTGTGATTGATGAACAGAGTCCCTTACTTCTGAATCCTAGTCGCTTTCGCCATTTCATTGGCCGATTAGTATACTTAACCATTATGCGACTAGAACTTTGTTACTCTATTCATGACCTCAGTCAACATATGTAGTACTCAACTGAAGCCCACATGTCTGCAGCCTTATGCATCCTCAGATATCTCTCTACTTTTCCAGACAAAGGCATTCTCTTACCTTCATCGAATGATTTTACTGTTCGAGCCTATTGTGATGCCGACTAGGGCAGTTGCCCAATCTCCCGACGATCCACAACAAGATGTGTGATTTTTGTCATTAATTCACCTGTATCTTGGAAGACAAAGAAACAAAACATTGTTGCTCGCTCATCTGCCAAGGCAGAATATTGTGCAATGGCATCCACCACCGTGTGCTCTGGCTCAAACGTCTCCTCGCGGATCTCAGCATTCCTATCGCCAACCTTTATTGCTTTATTGTGATAACCAAGCGACCCTCCATATAGCAGCAAATCCAGTCTTTCACGAGTGGACGAAGCACATATCCATTGATTGTCATTTCTTGCGTGAACATGTGCAGCTCTGGCTCAAACGTCTCCTCGCAGATCTCAGCATTCCTATCGCCCAACCTTTATTGCTTTATTGCGATAATCAAGCGACCCTCTATATAGCAGCAAATCCAGTCTTTCACGAGTGGACGAAGCACATATCCATTAATTGCCATTTCCTGCGTGAACATGTGCAGGCCAAGACAAATCAAAACTTCTCATCTTCCAACAAAGGAGCAGTCGGCTGATTTGTTCACCAAGGCCTTAGGAGCTGAAAATTTTCATTACCTACTTGACAAATTGGGTATTCGTTCCTTTCATGCCCAACTTGATGGGGGTGTTAAGAGAACAAGAACCCGTTGCGGAATTCCCGAAAAGCCAAGCTGGCAACCGATATATATATATAAGTTAAAAACAGCATTTTATTCTTTCATTCTTTTTCTTTTCTCGTAACTTCATCGCATTTCCCTTCCGTCGTGAAAAGTTCATCGCATGGCTCCCGTTTGCGAATAAACCTTTTCTTTACACAAATCAACATCCATCAACTGTATTTAAGTGATCAATATTTCAATTTTCACTAATTTTTTTAGTAGAAATGCAGTGCTAGTGGGACCTGTAGGTTGCGGCTGTAGAACACCGTGACAGATCAAAAGCTTCGACTCATGGTTTTCAAAACCGGATCGGACCAGACGGTTGGATCAGAAAAAACGGGAATTGGTTATCTGACCAGTTCCATTTTTCCTCAAATCCATTTTTTTCCTCAAAATCATTGATTTTGGTCAGTAAACCGTTGAACCAATTGGTTAACCGTTCAAACTGTCTGAACCGTTTGAATGGTTTTGACATTTTTTCAAAATCTTTAATTTTTTTTGTCAGAACGGGTCAACCGTTTGGTTCGAACGGTCCAATAACCAGACCGCTGACCAGTTCGGTTTTAAAAACCATGCTTTGACTTTTATATTACGCTGACATTTGTTTTCACTCTGCCATGCGTAAAAACCATAGCAGATTATGGACCTTGGAGAGTCTCACTTCTTCGCTTACTATTTTCGGCTTAAGTCCGGGTGTAGGTTTAGACTCGAATTCGATTAAATTCGATTTGAGTTTGAATCTTAGGGTATGCATGCTTTAATTAATTATTTGAATTCGAGTTCGATCAATAAAAAAATTGGTTTGAAAATTCATGAGCCTGGTTTAATATATTTTTATATTTTATATATAATTTAAGAATATATTATAAAAATATATTCATTTTTGAATTTTTTAACTGAATTTTAACTCATAAAATATTTAATTGAGCTGAACTCGAACTAGAAAATTGAATTTTAATTAAAGTCTGAAACTCGAAATTAATAGTATTTTAATTGAGTAGAGCCAATACATGCCAAAGTTCAATAGTTGAATTGGACTAGATGGTTGGACCATCAGAAGTAGAAAAGGTAAAACATGACCCAACTTTCATATATAAATTGACTTAAATTACCCTGAGTTTTTCAAATAAATTTAAATATATCTATGACTCTTTTATCTCTCATTTTCTTTCATATTTTTAACATATACTTTGAATTTTTTCGAACCCATGTGGGTGGTGGGTCTTTCCTTATCTCCTCTTCTTCCTTTTCTCTTTCGGTGCCTATTTTTCTTAAACCTAATATCTAAAGAAAATTAAATACAGCTAGCATCCTGACCATTAACAAGGCATTTACAAATGGAGTGTGTCCAATGGCCTCAACAACCGCAAACATGGTAGGTACACGTAAAGGAACCCCGCATCACTCCAGTCATCAAAGTTCACAAGTGCTGCTTATTAGGGGTGAGCATGGGTCGGTTTGGTTCAGTTTCATAGCAGACCTGAAACATATCTTATAAGTTGGTTCCAGGTTTTGGAACCAAAACATACTCTATGGGTCAGTTTCAGGTTTTGGAACTTGAACCTACCCTATTAGTTTCAGGTTTAATTCTGGTCATGGCGGTTCTAGGATTGATTCCAAGATCTACTTGTAGAACCTGTTCTTTCTTTACTTTCCCTCTTAAAAAATGAAACATGTTCTTTAAAAACTTGACTTTTAATGATTAAGTATAATATATAGTTTAAAATTTATATTATCTTTATTGATTAAATTGAGTAATTTAATATGTAGATTATGTAATATATTAATAAATGGCTCAAAACTTATTATTATAATTTAAATTTTGTAAATATTACATTTTATTTTATTTATTATACACATTCAAATATTAAAATGAACAAACAAATGATTGAATCATTTAAGTAACTCAATGGTCAAATGAGGCGATAGCCCTTGTAACCATGAGTGCTTGGTTTCACATCTTCACATCGCCAAAAGTATTATAGGGTTTATTTCAAGGCAAATTCAGTTCCAAGGGGAACTCGGATTCAGTCCTCACAAAATGGTGCTCACACCATACTCACACCACTTGTGGCTATGCATTGTTAGGACTAAATCCAATCTCTTCCAAGGCTGATTCCACCAAGGCCAATCAAGGTTAATTCATTGGGTCATTTGGCTAGGGTAAACCCCGAGACCCTATAACTAGCTTAGTTGGGGGTTGATTCCAATAATTTGGAACTAGACCCTACCCAATACCTGGTATTGGGTCTATTGAAGGCCAATTCCATTTAGTTCTTGGTTGAACCTACCTATTTGCTCACCCCTATTGCTTAGGTATGTTTAGGTCTTTTACCCATTAGAAAATAACAGTAAAAATGGTTATTAAGCTACCCAATTCTTAGAAATATTGATTTGCAAAATCTACTTCAAAGACATGTTAATACTTGGTATAGCTTATAACATTTATTAATTTAAGGCTTTTTATATTAAATATTTTAAAAGATAACTTAAATTATTAAATATTTACTATTTTTAGTCTTTCCTTTTTTTTCTTGCATTTCTTATTTGAATGTGTTCAACTAGATGATCAAACCAAGGTTTAAAGTATCGATATGATAGTCCCAATACCGACCATGGATACAAGATATGCCACAACTTGGTATACATCCCATAAATCGTGAATCAGCATGATATGCTTCCTTATCGACTGTATCATTCTATATTGGTGGATATGGTCCAATACACATCAATATGGAAGCATATCAATGCCTAGCTTGATGAAACAATATATTGATCACTTTTGGATTGTATTTGAACTTTAGTAAAAATTCAAAATTATAATTATAAAATTTGAAATACAATTATAATTACAAAAACTAAAATAATAATTTAAGATTTAATTATCCTCAAAAAATTTAAAAAAAACTGAAAATTATAAAAATAATTTATTTTTTATCTACCTTAAAGGATTTATATGTTTTATTTTACATATAAATTATATGTTAAAAATGAAAACATATTTTTTTATTTGAAAAAATAGAATTATTAATTATATAAAAATACTAAATAAATTCTTCCAACAAAAATTAATAAAAATTGAAAATTATAATTATCAAAACTAAAATAAATAATTTAGGATTTAATTTTCCCCAAAAATTTAATAAAAGCTGAAAATTATAAAAATAATTTATTTTATCTACCTTAAATGATTTATATGTTTTTTTGGAAAAGGTAAGGTAAGATTTTATTTCAAAGAAACATATTTACTATTTGTTTCATTTATTTTATATGTTTTATTTTTCAATATAAATTTAAAACAAAATAATTATATGTTAAAAATAAAACATATTTATTATTATTTTTTTTGAAAAGGTAAAGTAAAAAGATTTATTGATGAAGGAAAATTATAGTACAACAGCAACCTGACGAGAAAACACCAGGAAAGGTACTACATTACAAGTCCGAAATGGAGTGGGAATCGAGGAGCTGAAAGACATTCTTATCTTTAAATTCTGAAATTAGAGATAGCCAAGAAGCAAGCCTATTAACCACCAACTTGAGATCTCCAGGAGCTCTAGTTCTGTAGCAGAATACACGACAAAATAGCTATTATTTATATAAAATACTAAATAAATAAAATTTCCCAAAAAATAATAAAAGTTGGAAATTATAGTTACAAAAATTGAAACAAAGTAATAGTTACTGTATCGTGTATATATTCTAAAGTCCTAGTATTGTTGATTGTAATGTTTATCTTCATATAACCTATTAAAGTGTGCATTTCTTATGTGTTTATATTTTATTCATAGATAATTCAGCTTTAAATTTAGTGTTATTAATATATTTATGTGATTTATATGCATTTCTCTATTGTATCCAAATGTTTACATATCTGTCGTTTGTAAAAATACATACCTGCCTGATTTATCATACATGTTGCTAAGCTTTCTATGCATTAATCTGCCCTAATTTAGTCCTTGTTACAATCCATTAAAAACATTTCGTCCTAGTACATTCATTGTCAAATTAAGCAGAGATCAAAATGAATAATAAACATACCAAATGGATACATGTGACAAACGTGGAAAACCAACCAAGAAAGAATACACTTTTTTACTCTCGGTTGCTCCAATACAGGCAGTCCAGATTGATTGGGTATAGATCTGTGTTGGATGTAGAAGATGAAGTCCATGGTCCATCTGGTGATAAACTCCAGTTCTGGCTTTTAACCATATTCTGATATTGGCTCTGTTGATAATGATCCTGGATAGAGTTGTGCCTTAACTCATCATAAGAGATGCTTGATTTTAAAGACTCTGGAATCATTGACTGGCCTTGGAGAATGCTCAACACTGAAGACATGATAGGCCTAAGTGCAGGAGAGAAATTAGTGCATGATAGAGCTACATTAATCGTTCTCATCACCTCTTCGTTGTTGAACTCGGATCCTAACCTTGGATCCACCAAATCCATCAAATTTCCTTTCCCTCTCAGAACAAAGGCCTAAAATAAGACATCTGGTAAGCCCTGTTTTATCTTCTTTTCAAGTTAAATAAAAGTTGTTAATGATTCATCAAATTAATGAACAATGGAATTGTAACATAACAAAATTACCCAATCAAGAAGATCAAGACATTCTTCTGTTGGCCTGAAATTAGTGGTGCTTTTCCCGCTAACAATTTCCAAGGCAACGACTCCAAAACTGTATACATCTGCTTTATGAGTAAGGTGACCTTTCATTGCATACTCTGGTGCCATATATCCACTGAAAACAAATAATAATAAAATTCATATTTTCTCTATATGATATCATATCTATCATATGCTATGGTTCTCACTTCTCACCAAATATTACTATTAAACTTCTCTAAAGGGTATAATACTACTAAAATTATTCTGCAACTTTGGACAGGTTGCTACTATTTCAAACTTGATAGATTGAGTAGGGATTTCTGGAACTAAAGAATCTTGTTTAGCAGATCAAATTTTTTTCTTAATTATGAATGGTAAACAAAACAAAATTCCTTTCTTTTTTAGCACAGAGTAAAAACTATATACTAGAATTTCAAAAAATTTGCAGTTCATGGTAACTCACTAAGTTCCAGCAACCCTTGTGCTCATGTGTGTCTTCTCTGCATCATCAAGCTTGGCCAACCCAAAGTCAGATATCTTGGGATTAAGATCCTTGTCAAGAACATTAGTAGCCTTGATGTCTCTGTGAACAATCTTCAACCTTGATTCTTCATGGAGATAAGCAAGGCCTCTTGCTAACCCAACACAGATCTTGTGTCTAGTTGCCCAGTCCAACTTTAATTGGCACTCTTCTGGACCTTTACATCATCAGATTAGAAAAAATTAGAATATAATTTATTGAAACAGATGCACTGAACTAAATAATGCTGATCCTACCAAACAAAGCACGTGCAAGACTGTTATTTTCCATGAACTCGTATACTAGCAGCAATTGGTTTCCTTCAATGCAACATCCGTAAAGCTTTACAAGATTAGGGTGTTGCAGAGCAGAAATCATGCCTATCTCGTTCACAAATTCATGGTTTCCTTGCTTTGATTTGGATGAAAGTTGCTTAACTGCTATAATGGTTCCATCTGATAAAAGACCCTGCATTTCAGTGATAAACTAACAATTTAAGGTTTATTCTAAGTAATGCTTAGTAAATTAAATATGCTGATGCATTTGGATGAAACAGTGATACACCGAGAGTGATAGTGATACCCCTAAACTTGTTCATCAGTACCATACCATGCCATAAACTTTGTTTTTTAGCGTAAATTTGTTCTCCAACATTAGGTTACCCATGTCCTTTTTATATCTGGGTAACAGAGCAAGAAAATAGGCTTTTATATAGAATACCTTGTAAACAGGCCCAAAACCACCTTCTCCTATCTTGTTTGCTGCATCAAAGTTGTTTGTGGCAGCTTTAATTTGTCTTAATGTAAAGGAACCAGTTTGTAGATCTAAACCTTTCAAATCTGCCCAAAGAGTAAAGCTCGATGAGAAATTTATTTTAAAAAGACAAATACTTTTGTGACTAGTAACTTATATTCTCAACATGATTCTTAGTAAAGTTGCCTGCAATCATGAGGTCCAAATCATGTGACACAAAGAAAAGGCAGAATGTAAACAATAGATCACAGGTCAATTTTGAGCATATTTTTGCCACCATTTAAATTTTCATTAAGATTTAGGTTTAGTATGAATACTCATTCAAGGAAAAAAAAATAAAACAATAAGATATCAAATAATAGAATATTTGAAAGCCATAAAAAATGAAGCATATATTTGAAAAAGAGAAAAAGTAGTGAAGATAAAAGGTGTTTTTTCTTGTTTGGTTACATAGTAAAATTGAAGTTCTTTATTTCCTTTTTATTGCTTATTAAGTCAATGAAGCAGGAATCTGTCTTTCTTCTTTATATCTGCAGTAAAAGTACTATGTCTTCATTTCTTATAGGATTTATATAACCAGTTTTTCCCTACCTTGGTCCATTGTATCATATCCTATACAGCCTTTCCACCAAAGGACACAAAGAACACCGAGTACCAAGGAGATTAGGCCTACTACTGAGACCACAATTCCAGCTACAACACCTTCAGGTTTCTTCCTTCTGTCTTCAGGAGGTTTAAAATCTGCCAGAAGAAACAATATCAAATATCCATGGTTAATTATAAAGCAACAGCTGAATTATGGGTCATATGTTGAAATTGAGTTAATTCCATTTGTCATATGAGCAAACAGATCTCAAAGAATCATATTCATTTAAGTGATCCAAAACAAAAACAATCCCAATGATGAAGGAGCTGAAGAGTCAAAAATTGGAATTTTCTGAAATTTTATGTATTAATGTATTTTGGGATAATAGGGTATTATTGTCATTTTATAATTTTTATGTGGGGTCCAATTTTAAGGTCTGACTTGTCTAACTAAAGTTTGTTTATGTTTAAAGTTTCAGAGTCATTGAATAAGTAGGATTAGAGTTATTGATTCTTCTTTTAATTGAAATAGGATAATAGCAATTTAGTTTGAATCCTACTATGATTCTTGCGAGTCTAACAATTTTGACTCCTAGGATTCGTACGAGTCTATAAACATTTATGGACGTTTTACAAAAAGATAAATGAAGGTTATTGAGTTTGTCTTGAGCTTATGCTAATTATGGTGAGTGATTCCCATACCCTAGAGTGATTCTAGGTACCCCATGAGTGATTCCGGGTATTCTCTCTCTTCTTTCTCTCTCTCTATTTTCTTTTTTATTCCTTTAAAAAGCCATTACAGGCATCAACATCCATAGGTTTATGACCAAGGAAGATGCATTCAACATTCTCTAATGACTGGAAATGGGCTGTCCTACATCACCCAACCAGAGCTCAAGCAGATAAGACTAGATTTAATGTACCTAAATACTTTCAATTAAATAAATCATTTCTTTCCTTTCTCATAATCTTTTCTTCTTTGTCATTTAAATGTGTCATTTGAGATGCTTTATTAGGATCCCTTGCTTGGTTTAATGGTAAAACCTCAAGCTGACAAGCATGAAAATGCAACCTTGAGTCTGAGATTGGCCACTTCATGCAAAAAATGCCAGAGGAAGGGTCCATATCCAGTCCACCCCTCACAAGACCCTGGATAGCCAGGATCAACAACATCAGGTAATGACACTAATTGATCTACCTTAGAGTATAGACCAAGAGAAAATAAATACCATTGGATCGATACAATTTAAATCAATTAATTAGTAAATGCAAACCAACATAGCATACTTATGTATTATTTTTTCTACTTGTGTCAAGAACTGGACTTATTTAGTTAAAATTACACTTGTTAAAGGAAAATCTCCAGAAAAACAGTAGACTTACTAGGCTGCACAGAGATAGCTGATATCAAAGGACCATATATGCCTCTATAAGGGATTCCTGTTGTTCCTTTCCCAGCCCAGTAGAAACGGATTTCTAAAGTTCCAGTTGTTACATCAACTGCACTAAAGTTTTTGATGATTGCCTTGCCCACTCCACCCGCTTCTTCTGCTATATTGAAATCTTTCAGTGCTAATCTTCCCTGCAATAAACTACTTACACTTAATATCTGATAAATATAAGCTATAGAAGTATATTTCTAAATGTGATTAAATATTAACTACCTGAATATAAACATCAAATATGCGTCTTCCAAGGCTGCTAAAATTTCTATCATTTGTGAACATGATCTCAGCAAAGTGAAGTTTCACATTATAACTTCCCTTTAGAAGACAGTATCCATAATATGTAAGAGAAAGGGGAGAAAGGCGTGCTGACATGTACAATTCAGAGTTTTCAGGGTTGTTTAATGGTCTTGATGCAGTTGTTACTAAAAAGTCATCCACATTTTTGTCATCATCTAGGAAGTAACCTGTGCTGCTAAAGACCCAGTTATATTTACTTTGGAAAAATGTTGAAGGACCAGCTGTGTCTTGATCAGATCCATATATGCTGTCTCCTATTGTAACTTCTCGTCCACCACAATTTATATTGAGTTTATACACATCTAATTGGAAAAACAATAAACAATTAGTGTCTGCTTGATATAATCACAAAAAAGGAAAGTATAAAGAATTTATAGGTTTAGTTACAACCATCCATATCCATGTCTAATAAACTCCATCTCAGTTTTTGATAGTTGAAAAGTTATTAGAAGGGGGAATCTTGTGTGCTGGCTTGCCCAGGAACAACTCCAATGGAACATGGAAAAATGAACCATTAAGACCACTATTCAGTGTTCTCTGCCAAGGAGACTACTTAGTGGGCACAACTGATTATCTCCAATGACCTCATTGCAAATAATATTCTGCAGAATATTGATTAGACATTTTCCCATTCTCCAAAGGAATAGAGTAAAATTCAATGTTTGATATTTTTCTCTTGAGTGGAAAAATAACATGACCTAACTCTCTGGACACTGGCACTATTTCTGCATCTTATCTATACCTTCATTACACCTTTAAGGCCAAATAAGCCAAACAGGTTGAGATAAAATCATGCATTTCTGTGATAACTTTAATGCACCTTATCACAAGGATGCTGTATTTTTGCAAATATAACATGTTTCTGGTTTCCAGAAACAGAAACACAACCATTGTCTTCTGGTTCCTTGGAAATGGTCCTCATATGTACATAAGATGTCAGCAAAAATTTGATGGTCAGTCAAACTGGTACCACGTTAGACGGAGAAAAACCATTCCAGCTCTTAGTTTATAGAAATATCGAAGAATAAGATGAAAAAGAAAAACTATAGTTTTTAACATTTTGAGGAATAATCAGCTCCATCTTCTTTATAGAGTATGATCATGTTGCAAAGATTGTCAAAATAACACATAAAGATGTATTCGACTGCAGTGTTAGCTTCTCTCTAAATTAAGAAATATTTCTCTTCTATGTAAAAATTCGAATAATGAAAGGAACTTTTTTCATGGAAAAGAAAAGTCTCAGGTGTCTCAACCAAGTCAGTTCTCAGTAGACAGCTTTCTTAAATGTGAAAGGTTGATGTGGCCAATCAGGAGTATCTACTGATAGGGTTCCCTAACAGTTAGCTTTTGGATACAACCTATAACCTAAATCAGAGTTTGATATTGTATAGTTGGATATTTTTCTTCAAATAGTCAAGCTACACATGCATTAAATGTGGAAACATTCAAAGAACAGAAACATAACAAAAATTGGATTACTCTTATGGTTTTAATTATTTAATTTTAATTTAACAAATCTTAAACAGAAGATATCTAAAAGCAAGACTAGGTTGTTCCTATCATTATGTAAGTGGTAAAAAAATTAAGAAGATTTACAGAAAGAAAGGATAAAATAAAAGGAAGAAAGAAGAAAAGAAGAAAAGAAGAAAGAAGAGAGGAGAAGAAGAGAGAAGAGGAAACATTCGAAGAGAAAGATTTGGAGCCAAAAGAAAAGCTAGGGAATATCCCCCTTTCATTAGAACTTATATTGGAGTACATAAATTTCATTTAAGCCCCTTAGGCTGTGTTTGGTTGCAACGCAAATAAATTTGCACTGATACAAAACCATGGTAGTGCAAATGATTTGAGTGTAAATTCTGACCTTTTTTTTTCAAATTTTAGCTTATTTTGTTTGATTGCAGTACAAATGAAGCATGAAGCAGAATAAAGTAAAATCCAAAACAAAATTAAAAAAGATTTTGCATTTTTTACATTTGCACTCCCATGCACTGCAACCAAACACAGCCTTAATAACAAAAGACATATAAAAGGACAAGAATGCCCCTCAAACAACCAGATTACTCACACAACAAATTATTTTCAAAAAAAAAACAAATAGGGACTTTAACATAACACCTTATTTTTTATGGCTTGGCATGACCCTCATTTTATATTAGGTTTTTATTTTATAATTAAAACTGCAATAGTTAGGTATGGTCCAAAGGATGTATAGTTATTTTAGGACTTTTAATTTAATATTAAACTAAAGAACGCCTGACTAAAATATAAGGGAAAAGATTAGTTGGGTCTGATGAGTTCTTTGATCAGGAACAGATGAATCAAAAGAGTAAGTCAAAATGGGCAAAAGAGTTGTTCTCACAAGTATATGCTGATAAATCATTTATCAAAAAACGAAAGTATATTCTGATAAATCAAGTCTTGGAGTGTTGAGCTCAGGCAACAAAATCACTGGGATTATCATGCATGGGTGGAAAAGAATTTGCCAAAGATCAAGTCAGTAAGGGAAAAGGTTGACTAGGAAACTGTCAGAGAGGTTTGAGATCTTATAGGAGTTTGTCTTTCTGTGTGACAAAATAGTTTTCTGAAGATCAAATTGGTGATGGAAAAGGCTGATGGAGATACTTCCAGAATGATCCAAAATCTGTTAAGTTGTGATATGACAACACTGTAAGTAGTGAGAGGACATGAACAAAGAAAACAAGATGAAAATGTACATGTGGCAGAGGTAAAGGAAAGGGGTGATCTGCCCTAGTGGTGATCTTTATTCCATTGAGACTTGAGAGAGATTTGGATTCTCTTGATTTGTGTGCTTTGGGGGTTTTAAGGAGACTTGTTTATTTTGAAGTTATTTGTTGGCTTCCAGTTCAAGTATAATTTTTGGAGTTTGGTTGTTGCTAAAGGCTTATATGTCTGAATCAGGATTTCTTTTATATTTTTTGGGTTTTTTTTCCCTGTAAATGCCTTGTACACCTTTTCTTTGATTAGAAATCATCTGGGTGTAGTGGTGGCACTCTTCTCAGGACCAATAGGTATTGGTGACTCAATACAGGCTGAATCTCTAGCTCTACTTCAAGGTCTAAAGATGGCTGAGCAGATTGGAACAACAGATTTAGAAATAGAAGGAGACTCACTACTGGTCATTTCTTGGGCTAAAAACACCACATCAGCACCTTGGAAGCTCAAATTTATTTTCAGAGAATTTGACATAATTGCAAGGAGGCTCAACTCTCAGTTTGGTTGGGTCAAACGGACTGCAAATGGGACGGCGGATACCTTAGCAAAACAGGGGGCAAATAGATCTACCTTGTACTGGGCATAAATGTAGCTGCTTGTATGTGTTTGCAGACTGGGTTAATGCATTACTGCAACCTATAACTATTGTAACTGATTGTAACTTTTTCTCTGTTATTAATAAGAAATTTTTGCTGATCAAAAAAGAAATATATTTTTTTGTAAAACTATAAAAGTAAAAATAAATAAAGGACTAGGTATCATACTTATTCATGAAAACATATAAATTTTGGGTGCGTCCCAGCTACATGGCCAAAATTCCAAAACTATTATTAGAATTAAACCCTAAAACCTAGTATTTGTAGAATTTCCTACCACCCCAGCACAATTTGGTCAAATAAACAATGGAAATGCTAAACCCTAAAACCTAGTATTTGTAGAATTTTCTACCACCCCAACACAAGAATCATGAAAGGCAAGCCCTAGGTTACTTGTTGGGCAGGATGAAGTAAAAGGGTACACAAAATGATGTGAGTGACTAAACAGGTAGCCTAATATTGGCCTACCATGTGTCTCATGTTAGATTAGTAGCAACTTCTACAACCACTTCTTGGTTGTAGGGTTAGCATTTCCTTTTTCCTTCCACAATACTATGATATCATAATTTGTAGTTTGCTTCTATTTTTCTAACTGTGTCAACTAAATTACTAGTTCTTTTGCATTCTATCTTCTACTTCTCCTATTTTAAATTATTCTTCTACTTTGACTAAATCCTATTTGAAATGTCTCACTGGCCTTTATAATGAATTGATTCATGTGCATGCTTGCTTAATTTAGTTAGAAATGATATGCAATATGTGATTAGAACAGAAACAAAGTAAAAAAAAAAAAAATCATAGAAATTTTTAACCAAGAAACACAAAGGGATAGTAGTCTAACTTCGAATATGCATACTTACTTTGTGAACAATGAAGGCCCTGTAAGCATGTAACAACTCCATTGCTAGATTGATATCAGGTCAAGAGAATGTCAGATTTATGAAGTATGTACTTGAATGCTTTTATAGAGAAAAAACATAAATCAAAGAGGTAGTCCAAAAGGCATGTCTTTTTGAATAATTTAAAACGTATGATGTAATTCTACAGAAATAAAAGAAGAAACTTACGAGTTGTTTTCCAAAGAAGAGCTTCCAAATAAATTCCTGAGTAAAATAAAATGTGCCAAAAAGTTTAGAAATCAAAACAAAATATTTAACTGCATCAAACTAGAAGTTGAAATTTCATATAAGTGCCCTTACACATTTCTCTGTTGACAACTTCGTTGCCCTAAGCTCCTCAATGTAAAGTTATTGTAGGAAAGATCACTGCAATTTAAAATGAGAAGTGGATATGAAAAACAAAAAAAAAAGGTAGTACTTAAGAAACTAATTTCTACTATGCTAAAAAAACCAATTCTTTGTCCTAGTCATCCAGTAATCTGTATGACTAAAACTCAAAGAAAGCATGAAGAGAAACTTACATAATTTCTCCTTTCTTCAACATCCAATCAGGAACAGGACCATTTAGAAAGTTTCCTGTTAGATATCTGGACAAAAATCACATCAATGAAATTGTATGATTGGGCAGTTGTTCTTAAGGCTGTGTTTGGTTGCTGTGCAATTTTATTCGCACTAGTACAAATGTATGGGAGTGCAAATGGAGAAAATGCATGTTCTAGTTTAATTTTGTTTTGGGTCTTACTTTGTTCTGCTTCACGTCTCAATTTACTTCATTTGTACTACAATCAAACAAAATAAGCTAAAATTTGAAACAAAGATAGATCAGAATGTACACTTAAATCATTTGCACTATCATAATTTTGCATCAGTGCAAATTTATTTGCATTGCAACCAAACACATCCCAAGCAACAATAGAACTTAAAATACAAAAACTACAGCTTCATTATTAGATCACTTACATGTAATTAACTTTTGATAACTTTTCAAAGCTACTAGGAATTTGCCCTGTCAACTTGTTAAAGCTCAGGTCTCTGCAGGAAAAGGTGGAACATGGAATCAAAAATAATAAGAAAGTTTGGGCTACAGAATTTCTTATACACATTTATTTTTATAAACTTTTTTGCCAATATTACAACTTATGATTAAAATACCACAAATTCTATGGTACAGAGATCTGTTTCATAGTTCCAGGTACTGTAAAAGTATTTTAGGCTACAATTGTTGCATATTGAGGCTGTAAAAGTTGCACTCCCTTTTTATAACCTCAATGTACAGTGGTCTATGGTCTAGGATGCAATATTTACAGCCTTATTTGCAAGATATACAACCCAACAGTGCTTCCATGGTACTATTATCACAAAACAAGTTTGTGTACCACAGAATTGCTCTTAGAATACATCAGCATAATCTGTTGAAATGTTTTGTAGTATAAACATTTTTGAATAACCAGAAAACGATATTTTCAGACAATTTGTTGTGCAACATACTCACAACTCAACCACCATTCTAGCATTACCTATTAAGGTAAATTAGCATAACAGAGAGATAAGCCAGCAAAAGTAGGTGAACACTTTAAGCCCAGTAGAAAAGTTTGGACGACCTGTTTTGATAATAAAAGCTGTAAAAGAAAGAGGAAATGAAGGAGAAGAGAAGGTTTCTACAGAGAAAGAAAGTGAAGAGAGATAGAAGAGAATGGGAGAAGCCAAAATTAGGTCTGGCTGCCCCTTTCAATAGATTATATACTCACAAATAAAAGAGAGTACAAAGACAAGTATGCCCTTAGTAAGTCAGCTACTTGTAAGAACTAAATAAGCACTCTTGACTTAAAGCATAAACTAATGGGCCTAAGGCCCGATAACTCCCTAAATATGCCATGTAAATAAAAACAAGTAATATCAACCCAAAACTCAACACTTCCCCTCAAGTTGGGAATAAATGTCACACATTCCCAACTTGCGTAGATCATGCTCCAGCTTGTTTCTTGCAACACCTTTTGTAAGAACATCAGCGAGCTGCAAGTCAGATGCAACATATGGTAAGAAAACTTCTCCGGATGTCACCCTTTCCCTTATAAAGTGTTTATCCACTTCGATATTTTCCGTCCTATCATGCTGAACTGGGTCATGGGCAATGTTAATTGCTACTTGATTGTCATAGTATAGCATCATAGGTTCTTCAGCCTCAACCCTAATCTCCCTTAACAAGGAACAAATCCAGAGGAACTCTAAAACACCATGTGCCATGGCTTTGTATTCAGCTTCTACACTTGGCCTTGCCACAACTATCTGTTTCTTGCTTTTCCATGAAACTAAATTACCTCCAACAAGAGTGCAAACTCTTGATGTAGATCTATTGTCATCTAGACACCCTGCCCAATCAGCATCTGTGTAAGCCTCTAACTTCAACTGTCTACGGTCAGAAAATAATATGCCTCTACTTGGGTGTCCCTTCAAATAGGAAAGTATCCTGTCAATAGCCTCCCAATGCTGACCTCATGGGGCATGCATGTATTGACTCACCACACTCACTGCATAAGAGATGTTTGGTCATGTCATACATAAGTATAGCAACTGCCCCACTAATCTCTGATATCTTCCAACATCCTTCACTAGTTCACCTTCTGAAGCATTTATCCTGTGGTTCTGATCAATAGGTGTATCAGTTTCCCTTGCCCCAAGTTTTCTTGTCTCCTGTAGTAGATCCATAACATACTTCCACTGTTAGATGAAGATCCCATGCTTGGACCTTGCCACCTCAATGCCCAGAAAGTACTTCAGCTCCCCAAGATTCTTAATCTCAAACTTTTTCTCACTCAGATCATTTCCTGTGACAACAATGTCATCCACATACACTATCAAAGTTGACACCAGTAACCCCCTCCTCTTTACAAAAAGAGTATGATCAAATTGAGTTTGAATATAGCCAAATACAACCAATGAAGTTCTAAACTTGTCAAACCAAGCTCTGGGTGATTGCTTAAAACCATATAGAGACTTCTTCAACTTGCATACCTTTCCTTTTTCCACATCATTGTAGAAGCTAGTTCAAAGATCCATATACACCTCTTGCAAGTCTCCAATGAGAAAAGCATTCTTCACATCAAGTTGGAGAGTGGCCAAGAGTATATAGCTACTAGTGATAGAAGAATCTAGACTGAGATCATCTCTGCCACTGGTGCAAAAGTTTCCAAGTAATCTATACCATAAGTCTGAGTGTACCCTTTTGCAACCAGCCTCGCCTTATACCCTTCTATACTCTCATCAACCCTGTACTTCACTATATAAACCCATCTACATCCAGTTATCTCTTTTCCATCAGGTAAATCCACAATCTCCCACGTCTAATTTTTAATCAATGCTTTCATTTCCTCTGGCATAGTTGTCTTCCACTCAAGTTCAGAGAGAGCCTACTAACACTCCTAGGTATAGACATAGAGTTGAGGGAGGAAAGGAAGGCTCGGTAGAAAGGAGATAATCCACTATAGGGAAGATAGTGTGAGATGCAATGAGCAATACACTTCCTCTTTACTTTTCTGAGTGCAATAAGGAGATCAAGGTTATCTGCAATGGTGTTAGGCATAGGGGTAGTAGTATCAATAGGAATTAAACCATCAAAGGAAACAAGAGGCATACTTGGGTTTGTGTCAATCGAACATGGAATCTCCGATGAGCCGATAGAGAGTGATGTGGATTCCTCTACTGTGGAATCAACCTCTCTATGCTATCGTAGGCGACGTCGTGTAAAACACTGAGAGACATGATGCAAGGAAGGTGGCAAAGTGGGTGAGATAGGTGAGTTAGACACTAGAGTGGACAAAGGAGCTAGAACAGGAAGTGGTATAGATTTCTCACTTCCTTCCCCAAAACACTTCCCATGAGAATAACCCCCGAGCAAAAAAGGTGTGGACTCAAAAAATGTGACATTCATAGTAATATGCCGACTCCCGGAGATTGGATCATAACAACAATAGCCCTTCTGGTTTCTTGCACACCCAAAGAAGACACACTTCTTCACCTTAGGGTCTAGCTTTGAGCAGTGAGGACCAAGAAGATGGATAAAGCACACATCCAAACACCCTTAGAGGAATATAGAATATCTCCCCCTTAGGAAAAAGAAGGCTGAATGGAGTGCTATATCCAAGAACATGAGAAGGCACCCGATTAATCAAGAAAATTGTTGTAAGAACTACATCACCCCAAAAATGAACTAGAATAGTAGAACTCAACATCATGCTTCTTGCTACTTCCACAATATGTCTGTTCTTCCTTTTTGCTACAATATTTTGTTGTGGAGTGTATGTACAACTGCTCTGATGGCTACTCCATGCTGCAATAGGTATGATGCCAGGTTTTTTTTCAAAGTATTCCCTAGCATTTTTTTATCTAAACACTTTCACTCGTACCCCAAACTGGGTTAGCACCATGTAATGGAATTGTTGAACCAAAGACAATATGTCCCAAAGAGGAAACATGGTATGGCCCCCACACATTAGTATGAACAATGTCAAAAACAGAAGAACATCTTTCATTACTTGCTTTAAAGGAATGCCTACAATACTTTCCAAGTTAATAACCCTCACACTTTAAGCTGGACAAACTAACAGACTCAAACAATTTTGGAAACAAAAAATGCAAAGAAGCAAAAGAAAAATGCCCTAACCGATTATGCCAAAGCATAATTTGACCCACTGACTCTGACTCAATGCTCCTACTGACATGATAACTCTAATGACTAGGAAATGCATCAAGAAGATAGATTCCATTCACCTCACAACCACTCCCAATCGTCCTCTTTGATTCCAAATCCTACAAAACACAATGACCAGGAGAAAAAATCACTGAACGGTTCAAATTCTTTGTCAAGCTACTAATAGATAAATGATTAGTACTCAATCTAGGAACATGAATGACAGAAGGTAGGGTAATGGTATTAATTATCTAGACAGATCCTTCCCTAGCAATGGGAACATGTGATCCATCAGTTGTGGAAACTCTACCTCTGTTAGAGCATAGGTGGTATGAGGAGAAAATGGTAGAAATGTTGGTCATATATTCTGAGGCTCCTAAATCTATAATCCATGGAGGCCCCCCTTACCTGTAGTGGATATATAATTTGCAATGGCATGTGAACTACCTGTATGTGCAAATGAAGTAGAATGGCTACCTCCTAATCCATCTGTACCTTGTTGTCCACCTAATAATGATGGAACTGGTTGTATCCCTATAATTCAAAAACTGCCCATATCTCTCCAATTCGGCCCTCACTGTAACTACTGCAATAGACTCTAGAGAAGCTGTAGTAAGTGGTCCTGATAAATCACCAGTCACTGCCATATTCACATTTCCCTTCTTGTTTCTGAGTCAGCTCGACACAAAGTGTGAGTAAAGCTTCTAGTGGGTATCTCTAGTATGTTTAGGTTTCTTATAGTAGTCATAGATCAGATCCTTCTTGTCCTCCTTCCTCAATTCATTTCCACCCTTATCCCCACTCGGCTTAGGCTTCACTGTGCTAACCATAGCTGACTGCTCAAGGCCTGGATTCCTCATCATCACATTCCTCTTACTCTCCTATCCAAACACAAAGGCATATGCCTGAGAGAAAGTTACACTGTCTCGGGAAAGAATATGCTGCCATGCAATGCCATACTTAGGGTTAAGTCCAGCTAGAAACTCAAAAACCCTATTCTTCTCGACCAACTTCAAATAAGTTATTGCACCTTTTCTACTTTCCCAAACCACAATCTCCAAATGATCTATCTCTATCCATAAGGTTTTGAGGGCTGAAAAATAAATAGCAACAAACTTATCTCCCTGCCTAACAACAATCACCTAGTTTCTCAACTTGTAGGCTCTAGCAACATTTTCATTCTGTGAATAGGCTTCTGCTACTCCATCCCAAATCACCTTAGTTGTGTTAGCCCACGAAAAGTTCTTACTTATATGGGGCAACATGGAATTGCACAGCCAGGTCATCACAATGTAGTTCTCATGTACCCAACGAGAGTAGTTAGTTTCAGGTTTCTTTTCCTCAC